GAAGGAGATGCTGAGCCAGAGCCCGAACCTGATCCGGAACCGGAACCTGAGGCTGAGTATGATGATTACGAGGAAGAGCCTCAAGAAATTGAAGAAGAAGAGCCGGAACCGGATTACGAAGATAACGAAGTGGAAGAACACGAGGAGCTTCAGCTACCAGAAGAGGATGATGAAGGTCCAGTCGTGGTTAGTTTAATAAGTTAATTTTTAAATATTTAAATATCCTTACGTATAGTCCCTGGAAGTGATTTCGAACCTTTTTCGCGTTGAAGTATTTTTATTTCTGTCCTTAGGAAGAGCAAGCTGTAGCATCTTCAACCAATGCAGAAGAGCCAGGAGAAGGCGGTGGTGGTGGAGGAGGATTCGGAAGTCTTGTGAAAGGTAGATTACATGAAGTCGATCTATATGGTTTTCATATGTAATGTTAACTTTGATTTTGAAGTAGTTGGATACTGAAATGGCTACGTGCATGTAAACATAAGATAGAAATAAGTTTGAATAATTAGTTATCCTGTTTCTTTTTACGTACTTAACGATAGTATTTCGGTGGTAAAAATATTGAAACGTTTTTTCATTGATTAATTGTACGTACAACATTTTTTGCAGGTGCCCTGGACGGTTTTGGAGGCTCAAACTTTGGCGACATCATGAACTCAATAAGTGAGATAGCTGGTGGACAAGGAGGTAAGCAGGTTTTGTCTTAGATCGATTGGATGGTTTATTATCTACCAAACTTGTTTTCATCTCATGTTGTAAACTAGAGAAAAGAAGCTTTTGTTGAGCAAAATTTATAAATATTACTTGCTCACTGTAGTACTTCTCAAAATTTCAGGATATTGTATTAATTAGAACTGAGAGTAAATCATTTTTAGTGTTATAGCTGGAATATCATAGGAAAATATTAGTGTTCTGGCGATTTTCGCGCAGTTGAGCAGAACTCAAAAGTTGAAAAATTGATAAATCAAGAAAAGTGCAGTACTTCAAAGGTTTAAACTAATAAGTTTGGCTTATTGAGTAATGGCTTACCTATTACACATATACTGCGAAACATCTCCTCGGAGCATCAAAACAACTTTGTCATATTGCAAAATTGGCTTGCATACCCGACCGGAAGGCTAGCATTTTTTTTCCATTTTT